ATCTATCTATCTATCTATCTACCTATCTATCATCCACCACCGACCCACCTACCTACCTGATTGATCTGCTGCCTCTGGAACATCATCCCTTGAGTTCAGATTAGCTCCAACCCTACTGACCTTTTGTAAGGCCTTAAAGATATGGCTTTCCCACCATACTGTACAGTAGTTATCATAAGTGTTGTTTCCTGTTTTATAGCTCAGCTGCAGATTATATGCTTTTTAAAAATATGGTTTTATGTGCTTTTGATATGTTTTTATATTGCAGTCTGTTTTTTGCATTGCTTTTAATTGTTCTAAGCTGCCCAGAGTCATGTATTTGAGATGGGTGGCTATATAGAATAAACAAACAAATAATAGAAAGTACAATATAGAATTATGACAATTCATTAACACTATTTTTAGCACTGACGACTTTGTAGTCAGCCCCCGGCAAAGGCTGTCTGGAAGAGTTGGGTTTTTATGAGCTTCTGGAAGGCCATGAGGTTATGCCTTGGGGCAGGTTGTTCCACAGGAGGGAATCCCCCACAAAGAATGTCTACTGCCAGACCCCCTTCCTACCATACCTCCTGGTAAGTGGGGAGCCTTATTATGTGTATTATCTGGCCATCCAGATTTGGTCAGCAGAATCTATCTGGGAAAGGCAGTCTTTTAGATACCCAGACCTTGAGGCATATGTGGCTTTAGAGGTAGCGTCTTGAACTAAATTGTGAACTATAGCTGTGAATCCAAATGGTCTCTGCTGAGGGAGCACAACCCCCCTGAGAGTTAGTGCAGTCCTGGAATGAGAGGGCTTCTGAACTAACAGCCACTCCGTCTTGCTTGGGTTGAGTCTTAGTATCTCCCCACCCACAGACTCAATTCCCAACCCTTGCAGGTGGTCGAGAATGATGATTGACAGTATCAAAGGCTGCTGAGGAGTCTAAAAGAACAAGGATAATCACTCTCCCTCCAAACAAGTCCCTCCAGGATTCATGAGAATGACCACTGCATATGTCTGGGCCTGATGCCAGACTGTCACAGGTCCAGATAATCTGTATCCTCCTGAGCCCTCTGTAATAGCAGGGCCACCACTTTCTCAACAACCTTCCCCATAAAAAAAAGTTGGAGATGAGACATTAGTTATCCATCCAGGTCTGGCTCCTTGAATTGTCTCTTTCAAGGCTCCTGAAAACTGTCCTTTCTTCAAAAACCACTGAGTACTGCCTGGATCCAGCTCCCGGACTTCTCCCTAGCCTTTTCATTAACCTGGCAGGGCAGAGGCCCAAACAACAAGTGGCAGAGCTAAGATCAGAGCTCTTCCTTGAGACCCATAGGCTCAAAAAAAAAAAAAAAGTAATATTTCAAGATGTCACTTCTGCCATCTTAACAGATTCTCTATCTCCCTTCAGCTCAGAGTGAACTCAAACAATTTTATCTTCAAAATGTGCCATGAAATGCTCAGTTAGTGAATACGTGGTGTATATACATATAGTGGAAGCAACACATGCATAAATTAAATATGCAGGAATGTTATTACTTCACATCCTGCTTGGGCCTTTCCCAGATGCGACTGTTTGGCTATTGCATGGGAAATAAATACTAGACTGGCCAGCTCTTTGATCTAATATCACAAAATATTTTTGTCACATTCATACATGTTTACATTTGGCAACAAATTCTGAATGGTTCAGCAGCTTGCAGATCATAAAATCTCCCCAACACAGATTATAAACTTCCTATATTATCCTATGCCTCTCATTCTGTGGAAATAAAAACAGCAATAAGGTTCTAGATGACGGAATCAAAACAGTATTCCCCACCTGCAGAAGAACTCGGCAGAGTTGCAGATGAATTTCCAGAAGTCTATCGAGGTCATCGCTTCCTGTGGTTAACTCCTTTTCCATGTGGGCATCACAGCACAGGGAAGAAAGAGTGGCATCATTGTAGGTGCTGGTACCAAGCACAAGAGGAGAGAAGAAGCATGTAATAAACAGTGCATGCAAATCAGGAGTGGAGAGAACTAAGCTCTCATCCTGTTCTTGTTTACAGTAGAGAAGATGCTGACTATTCCCTTTGTATTGTGATGGAGATCAGATTAAACGTTTCTGGGACACAAACATTAAAAGAACTTAGGAAGGCACAAAAAGACTAGAACATCAGAAGAGCCCAGCTAATTCAAAAGAGCTTTACTGGACAGGGAGGTCCATCTCAGCCTTCACCAACTTGGTATCCTCTAGATGTGGACTGCAACTCAGCCATTCTTAGCCACCATTGGGAACTTCAGTCCCAACACAGCAGGAGAACATCAAATCAGAGATGGTTGCTCTGATTGCCACAGTAGCCAACCAGATGCTTCTGATAAGTTTGCAAATGCACCATAAGGCCACTGGTCCTCCTCAGCAACTGGTATTTGGTAGCACACTGCCTTTGAACATTCAGCTATGAACATTCAACTATGTTCAGGGATTAATGGATACTGAAAACCTGATGAATTTGGCTAACCCCATCTTAAAGCCTTGACATGCGATATGTCCTATATGCCACTAAAACAGTCAGGCTCACTTATCTATAAAACCCTTATATCAGGAATGAGGAACCTTCAGCTCACAAGCCTAATCTGGCCTGTCAGAACAAGCTATCTGACTCACAAGATCTTGAATGAAACTCACTTCCCATGGATCTGCACCAAAACGTTTTCTTTCCTCCACCCCACCAAAGACTGGTCAGCTTAAACTGTTCTACTGCATCTTTCCCCATGGAGTGCTTGCTCCAGTTAGATAAAAATGACACACAGTACTAGACTGAACATAATTGCCAATCTTTTCAGTTTTTTCTCCAGCTTTCTATTTTCAGGGCTCAGTTTATAGTCAGTGTAGGGCTAGAAAATGCAATGTTTTTATGGCAGTTAGTAAACTTATACGGAAGCATCTACCTGGTGCTGCAAGTCCTTATACTTCCGAAGGATGAGAGTTCATCAGCACTACAGTCAGCATTCAGGAAGTCAAAGCTTTCCAACACAGTCTCCACCATCAAACTCTCCATGGAAGAGTGTTTTGGATGATACTTTCTGGGCTGTTTGTGACATAAAGTATGCATACAGGAACACATTTTATCCAGAGAGAGACTGTTTTCAAAAGCATCCATAACACAACATGAGAAAGTCATTATTTTAATCATAGATTTGTGGAATCCTTGGTGCTCTCTGAGCTTGGTTGTTTGATTGCAGATGTTGCATTATCCAACTAAGTAACATCATCAGTGCGAGTGAGTGTGGGGTTTGCTCCCTGTTTATATACAGTAGCTTGCCCAATCATAGATTTGTGGAATCCTTGGTGCTCTCTGAGCTTGGTTGGTTGATTGCAGATGTTGCATTATCCAACTAAGTAACATCATCAGTGCGAGTGAGTGTGGGGTTTGCTCCCTGTTTATATACAGTAGCTTGCCCTGCTAGTGTTGGTGGGGATGTGGTTTTCTCCTTGGTAGATCCTTGTTTAGTAGGGTATTGTTTTCTGCTTGATTGTTTGTCTGCTTGATTGTTTGTCTCCCTGGTAGTTCCTTGAACACTGGCAGGGCAAGCTACTGTATATAAACGGAGCAAACCCCACACTCACTCACCCTGATGATGCTACCTAGTTGGGTAATGAAATGTCTGCAAGCAAACAACCAAGCTCAGAGAGCACCATGAACTCCATAGTTCAACCCTGAGCTACATATGTTCTCTTCTATTGGAATCATATATTTGTTTTTTAAAAAATGTGGCCACAACAGTAGGGCAGATTTAATGCATATGCAGACCCTCAGAGACATTGGAATTTAACCTTTCATGGTACAACTGAGGTGAGCCTGAAAATCATCATCATTTATATATATCTTTGACAGCACAGTTTTTCATAGGAGGAATACAAGTAACTAATTCAATTCAGTTCAAAAGCAATAGTTCAAAAACACCTTAAAAATAAATATTTAATCAACAGAGAGACTGCCAATTAAAGAAGTCATTAAAATGTCAGTGGCAAAATAAACCCTTGGATGCAGCCACCAGAGCTCTTCCCAAAGTGTTGAATTAATTAAATTGAATGTTAATTACATTTACTTGTCAATTAAATCTATTTTAATTTTTTACCTATTTTGTATGTATGCATATAAGTAGGAGAAGGTATGCATATATTACACTTCCCTAATCTACTGGATACTAGGTTTGTTTTGGACTTCAGAGATTGTGATCTCTGACTTTTCAAAATCTAAGGCACTAAGAAGGTTAACTATACCTTTAATTTGTCCTGGATACAGAAGACCTGGTATTCCAATTCCTCCAGTGGGACAGGGCTTGGATTCTGGGACTTCAGCAAATGTAATACTTCCTGTAGGATCTTCTCAATTGACTTGGTCTTTCCACTAGGTTTCGTATCATCATCATCATCATCATCATCATCATCATCATCATCATCATCATCATCCCAATTCCTTTGTTCAGCAGAGAGAATCTTTGTTTGTTGCTCTGAAGAATGATTCCAGACACAACTGATGGACTTACTGCCATCTTTGTCTTGTTCCAGTGGACATGATGGAATAGTTAGAGAACTTTCAGCATAGGGTGTTTCTTGTAGGATATCTAAAGTTCTGCGGCCAGGAGACTGGCATATTGAAATATCCTGTTGTTCTCCTTCCATGCAATTATTCTGTACTATAGCCAATGGCAGCTTCCTTTGATTTGACAGTGGAGTCATGTTTCTGCTTTCTGCCCCTTTCTGATCTTCAGAACTAAATGAACTTCCTTCAGTTGTCTCCGTAAGGCTGTGACTTACACTCCTCAGGCGCATGTTAAAATCACAGTCAGCTAAGTAGCTCAGGATGCAGGAATCTTGGGTCTCTTCCCTAATATTTGCATGTCTCTTTCCTTGTTGCAAAACAGACTGTGGGAAATAGGTGGAAAGTACAATGTAATGACCTTCATAGTACTTAGGCACAACTCCTAAATTAATATGTCTCAGAAGGTGGCAGCACATGGCCAGTTTTGTAATGAGTTCAAAAGCTAAATAAGGTTGGACCTGATTAGTTCTTGGATAGAAGACTCCAGATAATACTGAGGCTGTAGACTAAACTAAGTCAAAACAACAACAACAAAATATCCCAGAAGAAGGCAGTAACAAATCATTTTATAATGCTGCCAAGAAAACTGCATGGGTCTTTCATGAAATCACAAGGAATCAAGCTCTTCTCAGAGATATTAATTTTACAGGCAGTACATGCCAATTCTTTCAGTTGTATACTTTGTTTGTTTTCCCCATTTATACAGGTTAGATATGCCTTCTCTTTCTCTCATTGCCCTTTCTCCATGATATCATGAATGATGAATTACCATGGTATTTGTCACTTCTAGTCTAAGTTTACTTTTAACCCAGCAGAGGGGAACAATTTTCCACTGTAACACTCAATGGCACCCTAGAATACTTTTTTCAGACTTTTTATCTTCAGACAAGCTTCTTGAGATGTTAAGAAGACTGGCTGATCAAACCGAAGGCCTATCTATGATAGAATTTAGTCCCCACAGTGGTCAGCCAAATTCCTAAGGGATGCTAACATAATGGAAAAACAACACTCTTAATACTCATATTTCAGGACAACTGTTTTTCAGACATTATGCTACAAGTACTGACAGTTACATATAGCTAATATATCTAGTAACCATGGATAGTTTTACACAACATAATTTTAACTAGCCTCTTTTGAAATCCATCCAAATTGGTGGCCAGCAATTAAAGCTAAACTGGTGCCTAATGCTGTAACTTTTTCTTCATGGAGCAGTTGCTCCAGCTTCCTGTTCTTTTGTTGGCTCTTTTCTGAATCTTTTCCAATAGAAGTAACAAGAAAATATTCCCTTTTCTTCACTTCCCCACCCTTTGTCCAGTTCTTTCTACTGCACCAACCAAGACCATTTTTGTTGAGAAACAAGCCTGAACAGAATCCAGATATCTCTTACATCAACATCATCATCACCATCAACATTATCATCATCATCATCATCATGAGGCAAATTTCCTTTTTTAAAAAGGAGGTTGTTTATTAACGATGCAGAAAGAATGGTATTTTTCTTAACAGGAATTACAAGAATGTTTGAAACAGGAAAGCCATCAGAGCTCAGGGAAATTCTACCCATCCCTAAGCCTGCCAAAAGTGGATCTTTTCTGTTAATAGATCAGCTGTTTAATATTCCCCATATTGCTTGGATTTCCTTTATTATAACATTCTGATCTAGCAATGAAGAATTATCAGGAACTGGCAGGATACTTTTAGTTTCAACAGCCTTAATTTCACAAGAGACCATAGAAGAGGCTATAGGTTAGGGTTTGGGCTTAGAAGAGAAATAGCTTCTATTTAATTTATACTTACAAGGTAATATCTTTCTCGGAAGCTGGGAGTATTTGGAGGAGTCCAGCTGTATATGGAGTTTTTTCTACTCCCCATAGAAAACTTGGTGGTGGACCCAGGGGACAAAATTAAATTCTCGGAATCAAAAGGACTATGGATTGAAACAAACAGACAAAAAAAAAAAACCCCATAAATATTAAAAAGCCAACACATGCTTATCTTTATACCAAAGCACAGAGGAAATCTCATGTATTTCTGCCAATTGGCCTTCTCAAATTCCCCATACAGACATACAGGTCCACTCTTGCAAGACATATCAAGAACTTTTTTCAAAGGAACAATGCTTTTGCAGGAATCCTTCTTCAAGGGGCGCATTTTTCACCACTGGAAAGATGCAAATATACTACCCAAATGAGACATCTGTTGCAGCTGTGAGTATGGATTATGGATGATGAGAGTATTCTGAGCAACATGCTAGATAGGACTACTAACTGCACCTACCAACACTTTGGGACTTTCAGATATGAATTGCTTTATTTGTCTGAACTTTTTTAACGCAGGATGTGCTCTTTTTAATTCTACCAGCTATTCCTCATGTTATTTATTTGCCTCCTGGTTTTAGTTCTGTTTTATTTGGTTCTTCATGTTTTATAATGTTGTTGCACTCATACAATATTTGAGGTGCAATCTAGAGCTTTTGACTTACAAATTATGTTGAAAATAATGCTATGACATGGGGAAATAAAATATATTACACAAATACAGATAAATTACTTTGGAACTGCCTTTACATGTATTTTGGGCTGATCTGTTTTACCTTTATAGTAATTTTTGCCAAATTTGATTTTAATAAAAGGAGGAGGATGAAAAAGAAAAAGAATAATGGTCAAGAGTCCCTCTTCTGCTACTACCATGTCAATGTATGGACTAGCAATTTATTTCAATTCTTCAGAGTCTTCTCACTCTTTGTAATAAGCACTGATTTAATGGAATGGCTTTTAAATGTTCCATCATGATGGACCCTTTTCTGTCTTGGTCTCTCTTGGAGCTGTGGAATCAGCATAACCAAGATGGGCAAGGCTGAAAGTTATAAGATAGAAGGCTGTAATGCCATTAGAGTGATAGAGAATCCACAATGTGAAGTGGCATATGATCAGGGCACAGCCCAGAGATATTAAAAATTAAAAATATAAATAAGATATGATGGCTGGAACAAGCTTCTTTTTTCTTAATACTGAGTTGTAAGAACACAGGAAGGTGACAAGAACTGTACTATTTTCAGTACTGTGAACCACCCCTGTTCTTGTCTGCAGTGATAAAACTGGAGAAAGGCCCTGCCTGAATAAGACTTTGCCAATCAAGCTCTGAAAAATGGCATCAGCCCATTTTGGTCACAGCAGTCTTTTCCAATTTGGTGCCTGTAAGATATGGGGTATGTCAACTACCCTGTTGGTTGCAATTATGGGAGTTGAAGTCCAACCCATCTGGGGAGCATAATGTTGAAGAAAATGGTTTTTAACAGCTTTTCTTCTGTCTACAAGGAGAACTGGAAGTACAACACATCTAGGGCTTCCCTGTAGCTCCAGGTGACCCTGGAAAATCAATATTGGATAATAAGCATATGTTCACAAATTAGATAACAGACTGTCAACATCCATAACTTCATTTCATCCAAAATAATTTTAATAATTTTCAATGTAATTTATACATTCATGCTAAAAATATATTGCTTTTCTTTATGCTCACTTTTCTAAACTGCCTACTGAGGTTTATCTCTTTTAATGGTTTCATTGTATTTTATGTTTTTTTCCTCTCCTAATTTCAAAAGCCATGGCTGAAAGTACCAGATAGCAAGAAAATCTATGACCTGAATCAGTCATATGAAGACCCTTTGTAAATATTTCCCTATTCTGTGCATTTACACGAGAGTATTTTCCTACCATCAAGCACAGAGATGGATTGGATGCTTGCTCTGAAGCTAAAACCCTCCCTATAGATCAGGAGCTGAAAGTCTATCTCTCATTGTCCCTATCCCTTCGGTAGGGGCTGAAAGAGTACAGCAGCATCTAGAAGGCCAAAGATCTTTTTCACCTTTAGATCCAAGTGTGACAAAAACTAATACCCTCAATTAACCAGCCATCTAAGCTAATGGATTTGGTAGTAGCTAGACTTTGTTCTCATCCATCACCTTCTCAGTTGTCCCAGCAGCCAGCAGCCAGGAATGCTTCAGAGTCAGAATGGGCCAGTCATTCTCTCTCAGCCCCAGGAAGGAGGCAATGGCAAACCACTTCTGAAATCTTGCCAAGAAAATTGCAAGGAGTAGTCCAGGCAATCACCAGGAGTCAACACTGATTCAAAGGTGCACGCCCCAAAAAATCATGTCCTTGTTGCTTAAGTAAGTTAAGTTAAGTTAAGTTAAGTTAAGTTAAGTTAAGTTAAGTTAAGTTAAGTTAAGTTAAGTTAAATCATGCTGTTTCAG